CTCTCCATCAAAAAAAATTAAGACTCAAGAGATTATGTGGAAAGTTGGATTCCCTAAAACTGCTACTTCATACACTTCCCTCTCTCCATTGACTATTAGCCATTTAGTGATACATTTATATACCCATTTTGTGTGGAAATCAGTATTGGTTAAACTGTTATTGTGAGCTAGCATGTAGTCTATCTCCAATGCACCTGTTTAACCCACTTTTCTCCATCTCCACTACTATTAAACGAGTGAGTTGAGGCAGAAACATTGGATCTCGGTCACACATCCACATATTACCAATTAATTTTAATCACCTTCACAACACCTGAAGTGGGAATTATTGCACCTTAATTACGCCTTATAAAAACACATTAGCCAAAAATCATGCGTCACGCCTCTCCCACCACCGTAGCTCCACCTTCAAATTAAACTGCCTCCACTAAGGTGAAAAAGACCTTCAAGTGCACCGTCTCCCCATTCTAACTCCGCCACCCATAAACCTGCGCTGGTGCCCCGCGCCTGCCCGGCTCTCTCCCATTGCATGTCGCTCCTCACTCGACCTCACGTACCATTCACCAATGGCCCTCCGCTCCTGTCGCACCCATCGACGCACTCCTAGCGACGACCGGACACACCATCTCTCATGCCTACGCCTCCGACTCACAACACCTGCCGCTCCGCCATACCCAAAAACAACATAAAATAGTAGCTGGCACTGAGCAATGGATTAAAAGATTAGTTCAGAAAAATAATAAAAAATAATTTTAAATTGATGCCAAAAGTATGCTAATTTAATATAAATATGGCATGAAACAATAAAAATTTATACATAAATTTGAGACGTATCGCAGGCCCACCGTGACACACATCGAAACCCATCAGTCCGGTGAGGACGCATTCATGCTACCGCTCCAGCACGCCGCCTGAGGGGCCAAATCCGTCTATTTAAGCCAAACGGCGATCCTCAACCCTAACCACTCCTATTTTCACCCTCTCCCTCCCATCCGTGCCACCACTCCCAATACGCTCCTAGCTCGCCTTCCACTCCCAATCTGCTCCGAGCTCGTCGTCCAGTTGAAAACAATGTTCACGCACTTAAAAAAAATTGTACGTGGCATTTAAAAAAATTCTTACACAATGTAAGAATTTTTAGTGCAACTAAAAAACATACCATTAAAAATGCATGTTAAAATTTAAAAATATTCACATGTTTCAAATAATATGTCCATGATTTAAAAAAAACTTGTAAAATTTACGAAATTGTTTTTTAGCTATAAAAACATCTTACTATTCAGAAAAATGTTTCAATAAATATTGGAAAAATGTTTAACACCTATTAATAAAAATGTCCAAAAATATGTACATAAATAAAGATTCTGATGTATACAAAAAATGTACAATATGTGTAGACATCCAAACATATATTTGAAATAATATAAATGATGAATTTGAAATATATGAAATGTGTATAGAAAATGTTCCATATTTTTATGGAAAGTGTACAATATGCATGAAAAAAGTAGACAAGTGTTGAAAAAAAGGAGAAACCATGGAAATCAAAGAAAAATAAAACTAAGGAACCAAAAATAAACAGAAGAAAACCTATGCAAACAGTGCAAACCCCATAAAAAGGAAAACATATAGAAATAAAACTCGCACGACAACTACAGTGTTGGGCCGGTCCAATAGCGCCATGCCAGAGGCAAGGACGTGTTAAGTTTCACAGCGGGCAAGAAATGACCTTAGGGGGTTGTTTGGATAGAAAGAATTAGATGTGGAGTTTTGGAAAACTGGTTTTTAGAGGATTTTTAGGAAAACCAGTTTTTGTTAGTTTTTCTGTTACGATGAGTCTATACAATCTCTTGTTTGGGTGGAAAAAGGGGAAAACACGATTACACAATTGTCTTCCGCTCGTCCCAGAGGCCATGGCTCTTCGCTAGTAGCCTTCCTCTGCATGTTTCTCTCATCATCTTCCTTGCATGCTGCATGACACACATGTATGGCTCTCCTGCTAGCTAGCTTATGATGTGCACGCGGCAGGTCGAGGTAGCAGTGACAGCGACGCTCGTACAGGTGCACGCCGGTATGAAGCAGGACGCTGCCAGCGACGGTGTCAGCCGCACCCAAGCTGAGCATGGCGGAGATAACATGGCGAGCCGGACAAGCCGTTGCCGGCCGTGGCGACGTTGTCTCGGCAGAGGACGGACATCACGGAGTTCGACGTCGCCGCTGTCATGGTGCCGGTGTTGGACGGCGCCGTTGACGCTCGACGGAGCTACCAGCAAGGACGACTTGGACACAAAAATAGACGACAAAGAATTAATGCATACGTAGACCATGAAGCTGAACCAGCCGATGCATCCAAATAGCCAAAATAGGCCGTGCGGGGTATTGGCCTGCGCGATGGTAGAGAATGCGTTTGTAGAAAAATGACTAATAGTCGTTTTTCTATAAACTGGCTTTTTGAGATTTTATAAAACTCAGTATTACTTATCCACGGATTAGTTAGATATTCCAAACAAATTTTTAGGTGGTTGTAACAGAAATCACGTTTTTAGAGAGCTGGTTCTCTAAAAACTCTCCATCCAAACAACCCCTAGAGGTCTAATGACGTATTGCAACCACAGATAGACAACCTGAAAATAATGGCCCAACAGGCCAGGAATGATTGGCCTTATTTCATCTGTTTTTTTTTCATAGTGATCATAATACAAGTCACGTACATACCGACCTGCCAAAACTGAAATAAAAAGGCATGACTTTAGCCTTTGCACATTGATCACCAGCCAAGAAGTAGAAATACAAAGAAGATCGAAGAATCATCTGAGTTTGACCCCAACGCCCGTCACATGTCTCTCTCTGGCACAACCACAGTAGCCACTAAAGGAAAAAAAATGAGGGATGACCTCCACAACTCAGCATGCACCCTAGTATTATATTTGGTATATTCAATAAATAGTTTACACCTATAAAATAATACTCCCTCCATTCCATAATATAAGAGCGTTTTTGACACTACACTAGCGTAAAAAACACTCTTATATTATGGGACGGAGAGAGTACAATACAATGACTTGCATGTATTTTCAATTTTGTCTACATATTATTGATTTAAACATCCATATTCCATAAGATATTATCAATTAAAATATATCTTTAGCTTAAAAAATTAAAATATATCTGAACCAATTCCCCTAGTAATGTGTTTCCCGAAAATGAAAAGGCACAATCAATACTTCCGTGAGAAGCACAGTCTGTGCTTCCTAAAAAAAGTGATAAGCACAACGGCTTTTGTTTTATTTATTTCTTTTCTTCAGTTTTTTGTAAGAAAAAAAGTTTTCTTTTTTTTTCTAATTTCTTTTTTTCTGTTGTAAAAAAAGTCATCAAAACTTATTAACATCAGATATAGTTTTTTTTGGAGAAAATATGAGATATAGTTTCGAAGATCACGACACGAGAAACTGAATAGTGAAAAAGGTTCATGATTTGAACACATGGTTCAACAGATTAAACGTTTAAAATGAACCTACAAAAATGAACAAAATTCCTAAATTGCCACAAATGACGCACATGCAGTATGTCACTTGTCACAATCATAGAAGGTGTGAGTGACGTTTGTGAGGAATACCCTCTAACTAGCGATTTCCGATATATATATTGCTCGTAGTGCCTGAAAGCCATGGTACCTCGGGTTCAGCCCACTCGTGTCCTCCAGCCCAGCATCGTAGGGGCCAATAATGCGTCAAACATCGTCTAAAAAAAGTGGTACTACACACTGCAAAAAAAGAAAAGACAAATAGGTATCTCCTTTCCATTGTCTATGTATACTAGTATGCATGCACGCGCTATGCGCGTCTTTTACGTTGTAGAGTGATTTTGGCGAAAATAAGTCATGAAAATGACCGAGAAATGAAACAAATGTTCATGTGCATGTACTCGGAATTAGCATAAGAAGGCCTCTCATGTTCTTACGCAATCACTATCACATGAATAGGTAATTTGCACAAAAATTGGGGTACCTATTGCGGAAATTAAATAGATGAGCCCTCTTCAAGAAATATATTTCTGAATGACAAAAAATTCTGAAAAAAATACATATTAGTTCACTTCGAAAAACACATTCTAAAAAAAGTACATATGAATTCACTTTGAAAAACACATTTGTAAATGACAAAAAAATCTGAAAAAAGCTGCACGCATTAATCTCCCACCATGTTCCACATGCGAATAGAAAGGTCCACGGAAGAATTAAACAACTTTTTTTGCACGTGCAAAAAAGACAAAAAAATATGTTGTGAAACGCTATTTAGAAGCACTAAAATTGATCTTTTGTACAGAGGCCAAATAAAAAGGCAATTATTCATAGAATTTTGTTTTCCGCACATATTTTGTGAAAATATACGCATGAAATTTTGTTTTGTACTTTTTGTCACTTTCAAACATATTTAAAATATATTTTGAAAAAGCGGGTACACATATATAGCTAGGTTTAGGTAATGCCTACCCTACCTATTGCTATGTCTCACTGTAGTATTTATTACAACCTTCCACCCAGAATGCGGCACTGAGGCCATGTATCGTATGTGCACGCTAAAAAGGAAGTACGAATGTGGGCGCTGCACCTGGTTTTATTTGTTTACATTTTACTCGTCTACTTTTTCACCTCCTGCCAGATTTGTTTATCTGACCACACAGGCCATGTAGTTCTACGGGTGTCAGCATAGGTAGTAATATTATAAAACAATTTGGACAACTCCAGGCCATGCGAGCACCGTGACTGTTTCCCTGCTCGGCGCTAATCGATCGATATTTCTGGAACGACCCAGATAACACTGAATGGCACTGTAGCAGCGAATCCATGTGTTATAAACCGTCAGATGGAGCCCAATGAACGGCCAAAAACGCATTTCAATGCCTGAATTCAAACATTCAAAATTCGCACACTATATAGTAGTATAGAAACTATAGAGACACATAGAGCACACACTGCGTACGAATGAATGATGAATCAATCAAGACACATGGTGCAGAATGGATCCCGCCGCCTGGCCGAGGAGGTGCAGGACTGCTAGAGCGGAGATCGGTACTCCGGCGAGCAGCATGGCGGCAACGGCCGCAGCGACGCCAGGCTTGGTGCCCATGGCCAGCAGCTGCAGTGCTCCGGCGAGCGCGGACACGTCGGAGACGTAGGCCGGGTAGTAGCGCTTCTCCCAGTCCGCCCATCCCGCCGGCGCCTCGTAGTTTGTCTCCGCCATCCGCGCCTCCCGGATCCTCCGCCGGAGCACCGCCATGCCCTCGTCCACCAGCGCGCCCCCGTAGTGGTCCTGCCCGGAAGCGCCGCAGCGCCTCGTCCTCCGCTGCAGCGCCAGCAGACCGTGGCACGGAACGGCCTGCGGCCTCCTCGGTCGGAGCACCGGACCGTGGCGCTGCGGCGACCCGTAAAGCTGGCGCCCAGGCCCGGTGGATGCCGGCCGCACCGTCGCCGGTAACGAGAGGGCAGACGACATCGATGGAATCGAATCGGCTGAGACAAGAAGATGAGACAGCAAGAAAGCGACGGAGGGAGCTAGGAGCAGGAAGCAATGGAGGTGAATGCTGAATAATGGCGGGAGATGCGGCTCGATCGAGTGTGTGTTGCCTCTTATAGGTAGTGGTGGAGAGAGTTCACGCGGTTTCATGGACGGTTATCCTTGGCGGGTTTTGGCCGGTGATTTGGAATCTCGTTGTTAATTGTGGTTAGGGTCCAGCTGACGATGGATGGAGCGGTAATCACCTAGCTAGTTCCTTAAGCAACAACACGGCAACCACGAAGGATTCCAACTAACACCTGCCTGCCTACCGCCTCTCAGTTTCATCGATTAATTGATCAATCATCGTTGAGTTGAACTGGTAGGGCCTCGATAATTTAAAAGAGTATATATCATTTTGATATGAGTTGAACTGGTAGTGCCTCGGTAGCATGGGCCCTGGGCGGCGGGCTAATAATTTTAAGAAAAAAGTCCAAGCAACATGTTCTCTGGATGGGTATATATACTTAATAAATTAATTTTGTATGATCTAGGACGTTGGTCTTCCACAATGAGTTCCTGACTTTATATAGAGTAAGATTGATTTCTTTTTGCTTTATCTCTTTCTGATGGAAGGAACGCAGCTGACCAGGGCATGCTAAATACACGAATTTTTCTTGCAACGAACCGAATTCTAAATTTCGTCGACTAAGAAAACATGCGCAGATGATCATAATCATCGCATACGTCACCAATAGCACTTGGGTCCAACTACTCTGTCATTTTCTCTGTTGTAGTTTATTGGTCTCTTCGTCTTTTATATCAAATTTTGACCATAGATTTAACTAACGAAATGTTAATACATGTCACCGGAAAATATATCATAGGATTCGTATTTGAACATACTTTTTGACAATATTAATTTTGCTATGTGTAACTTATACTTTATTAATTAAAATCATGGTCAAAATGTGACCCTAAATAGGAGTGAGACTAATAAATCAGGACAGAGGTAGAGAGTACTTCGAGTATAATTAAATGATAGTTCATCCAAGTGTCCTACAATGGCTACAAGTACAATAGTGCCTTGAATTTAATTAAATCATAATTCATCCAAGTATCCTACTAGAAAAAGGCCAATTAGTTCATTCATCCGTGCATTGCAAAGTACTCTCTTTGTAACAAAATGTACCAAGACGTTTTTTATGCCCTATGCAAAATCAGAAACATCTTGCATTTTGATACAGAGGGAGAGTATAATGCTTCTACCTACCATAATAGGATAACACATCAGAGACGTCTATATATACCAACCTGTCTTTGAAGGTAATCGACGGTTTTCCAGTAACACATCAGAGACGTCTATATATACCTAACATGTTTTCTGTTGCAAGGAAGATGCTATGCATTCTGGATCGGCTTGAATTCTTTTTTCAGCGGGCGAAGATATTAATAGACACGTGCACATTAATTAATCATCGCATACATTACGAGAACATGTGCTGGCCGCGGGTTTATCATTTTTCTTTCTCTGATTATCTGTCACCGTCTCAACGCCTAGCTACCTTGAGGCTCTTTTCTAGGTTATTTAATTGTCCATCCACCAATTAGTCCTAGGTCCAAAACGAGCTCTCAGAAAGTCTAATGCTACCAGGGGACATATATATAGCACCGGCAAGCAGAGACGTCTATATCGACCAGCTGCTATCAATCGAGTCATCCATTTGCAGCTCTCATATCCACTTGATCACCTCTGACGATGATCGATCACGTGGTGTGAATAAGTGCGACGCGTTGTGTGTATAATTCACGCGCCATTTAGCCAGACGATATCCACCCAACGTTATATAACCGCAAGTACGTGGTATATGTATGGAGGTTTAAGGGGAAATTTTGATTCACGGGATTCTTGAAACATGGGAATAGAAATGACACTTAATAGACACTAGAATGGAAATTTTGGTTTACAGAGGATTGTATCCTCTGTAAATACTGTATCAAGGGAAGCGGCCTCAACTTCAATCACAAGTTGAACCTCAAGTTGAAGAAAGCCCAGCGCACATGAAATATTGAAGTTGACGTCCATGACATTGCTTCAAAAGCTGACTTCCACCAGAATATTCGCCACAGACACCATGGTGGCAGGAGAGATCACATACGCCGTAGTGTTGTGCCGAGGTGATCCGAACACTTCCGGCTCACATCACATGCGTACTCTCCAAGAGGCATAGTTGTCTGTGGGCACATAAATAAGTGATCATCATTGACAGGGTGTGCAATCTTAAACTTTATGACAAGATATTAATCAGGCATCTCATGTGCACAAAATATTAGGGTGCACTTATTACTTGTTCAACAAACATGCGATCCATGCGTCCGAGATTTCGCCACTGCAATTGAGGAGATTGAGGATCATACCAACTGTCTACATGGCCTATGGTCTGCCGCACTGCATACCAAGGTTTACACGTGCAAATTTTGTCTATTGTCTCGAGGACTTGAGGTCTATCAACAATTTCACTAGGTGACCATGTGTGATACTTGCAATGCCGTGATGCAGCTACAACTTGCACTTGCACAAGTTTTTTTTCCAGTGAGTCAATATAGCAACTGCCCACATTCACGACCAACACACCCAAAGGTAAGCCCCCCCAATCGAGTTTCCGAACAATCTTTCTAGGATACTAAATGTGTGCATGTTTTGATGTTGGCCCCTCCTTGTTGTTGCTCAACCATGGCCTCAAAATATATTTGCTAAGACTTTTATGATCAGAAAAATGTAGATGTGATTTTTTACAAACACTTGCATCTAATAACAAGAAACATTGAGGTTGTTGCCCAGTCCACACCCCAACCTCATCTTCTAGGATCCGCCGCTCTATCATCCTCCCACGCCACGAACCAAGAAATAAGTAAATATAATGGAAGGGGTACGTAGCAATGAGAAATCCATTGTCCATGAGTGCATCTAGATTGGTGCGGGTGGACCCCACACAATTTCATTTCCGCCTCTGTTTCTAGAATAGGAGGTCTACATGAACAACAATACGAGATGGATTCCCACGAGAGAGAAATATCCACCCATCCATGTCGTTGTCTCTCTCCCACATCCAACTCTCTTTCATGGGGAGACACTAGATCCACATGGACGATTACTCCAGCACCGAGCACTGTCACTGACTCTTCCCCGGGATCTCCACAGACCACAGCTCTCCGATGAAGGAAAATCGACATGCACCACCACCCTCAATCATATCCACATAGTACATAATTGTTCAAAGATTGTTAAGCACTTTTCATCCTTTTTCGATCTGTCATGTAAAACATACGTAACCTCCGTGGCTTGGGAGATTTGTGGATTATGGTTTGTGGAATTGATTAAATGGTCCATGAGATTTGTATTTGTGAAGATGATATTTGAGGAAACTCATTTTGGTGATGTTTGGGACTGATATGTGCAATATATGTGAAACTCATTTGAGTGGCGTGTTATTTGTGAAATTTGTGACTTGTGAATGCGTGATTCAGTGAAATTTGTGAAATTGATGAAAATAACATAAAGTGATGCTTATGACATGTGGAATATGTGATTACAATTTGTGAAACTGAATGTGGTGGAATTTGTTTTGCAGTGTGTGAAAATGTTATGTCAAACTATGGAACTGGTTATTACAATTTGTGAATTGGTACTTCAACCTATGAAATAATTGAAATAACCTATTACAATTGGTGAAGTTGGTATTTCAATCTATGAAATAGTTGAAATAACCAGTTTTGAAATCATTTTTCTTTTGGTACCATGTGAAATAATTTGAATTTGTGAAACTGTTCACTTTGTTGAAATACCCAGTTTCACTGATGTTTGTGAAATATGAAACTGGAATCGCCGAGATTACTTTATAAATTTTTTAAAAAACTTATGTCACTCTGATCTAATCGGTCTCAATCTTTTCTGAAATATGAATTTGGAATCACTAAAATCACTTTATAACAAATAGAAATTGTTGAAATCAGTTTCTTTTAATGCCTGAAATCGGTCTTGGAAAAATCACTATTTAAAAAAACTAATTTCACTAAAATCAACTAGAAAATTTTGAAATAGGGTGTTTGAAATGAGTGAAATTCTTTTTTAAAATAATTGAAATATAATTTTAGAAGATTTAAATCATTTTTACAAAATGTTGAAATTAAATTGTTGAAACGAGTGAAATTAGTTTTTTATAATAAGTGAAATTGTTTTTAAAATAAGTGAAATATGTGATTGAAGAATTAAAATCCGTGTTTTGAAATGGTTGGAATTAAATTTTTGAAATATCTGAAATATGTCTTTCTAAAGGCTTATGGTTAGGTTTTTCAAATATATCTAATGTAAAAGTGAAAATGTGTGGCTATGGAAAAGATAAATTAATTAGATAATTAAATCAATTGATTATAGTATCATTATATTGATGTGGTGATGTTGTCAGGAATCTGCACGTGAAGGGGCAGGGAATCCTGGGGAAAGAGTGAAATACCCCTCTCATATATAAGGGTTTGATGCGCCGTCCTACTTTTATTTGCTCGAAGTTCATCAGTAGATACTCAAACCATTCAAAACCTCTTTGCGCACGAACCAAGCCCTAGCCGATTGGGAGCCTTCGCTCCTGATCCTACGACAGGATCACCACCTCCATTGTGGACCGCACTCACCGATGTCCATGGACTGCGGGTTGTCGCCTAGTGTCGCCCACACTTGTGCAACCCGAGACCTTGCACGTATCCAGGCATGCAGACCAGATCAACCACCGGGGAGCTGCCCACACACATGGGACCAAGCATTGGCGAGCAGGCCCAACGCGGATTGTGGCGCCGCCCTATGGGAAAATTTCAGGTGATACCGTGATACGGACTTCTTGGCAGTTGGATCTAAGATTTCACGGCATCTAAAGAGCGATTGTACATGTGCGCAATTTCAAGACTCTCAGATGATTTTTTTACAAAATGTTCAAGAGCTTTCGGTA